CACACACACACACACACACACACACACACACACACACAAATTCAAACAAAAAAAAAACCCAAAATCTAAACCAAAATAACTCCTAACCAACCAACTAACCAACCAAACAAACAAAAAGAGAACAGACCTATCCATTCCTCTACAGTCTCAAAAAATGACTTATCTAGAGAAACAGCTTACTTTCCTCATTCTGCCTGTGGTGGTAGTTTGGATGACAGTGGCCGTCATAGGCTCATATATTTGAATGCTTGGTCCCCAGTTGGTGGAACTGTCTGAGAAGGATTAGGAGGTGTGGCCTTGCTGGAGGAGGTGTATCACTGGGAATGGGCCTTGAGGTTTCAAAAGCCCATGCCAGGCCCAGTCTCTCTCTACTCCCTCCTCTCTTTCTGCTGCCTGTGGATCAGGATGTAAAGCTCTCAGTTACTGCTCCAGCACCATGCCTGTCTGCTTCTCACCATGATGATCATGGACTAACTCTCTGAAAGTATAAGCAAGTGTCCATTTAAATGCTTTCTTTTAAATTTTTTTTTATTTTATGTGTGTTGATGTTTTGCCATAGGTATTAAGTTCCCTGGAACCAGAGCTACAGACAGTTGTGAGCTGCCATGAGGGTGCTGGGAATTGAACCTGGGTCCTCTGGAAAAGCAGCCAATGCTCTTAACTGTTGAGCCATCTCTCCAGCTCCTAAATGCTTTCTTTTATGATTTGGTCACTGTGTCTCTTCACAGCAATAGAATAGTAAGTAAGAGACTGTCTCTAATGAAGCCCTTTGCTCTTCCTTACTTACCCCAGGCTACAAACCCACCTGTCACAGAGCAGTGGTGGCACACACCTCTAATCCCAGCACTCGGGAGGCAAAGCCAGGCGGATCTCTGTGAGTTCGAGGCCAGCCTGGTCTCCAAAGCGAGTTCCAGGAAAGGTGCAAAGCTACACAGAGAAACCCTGTCTCGAAAGAACAAAAACCAACCAACCAAACAAACAAACAAACAAAAAAACCAACCAAACAAAAAAAAACCAAAACCACCTGTCAAACTACATACTGTGTGCTCTCCTGTGATAAGGTAACTGAGTTGCTGGGCTTTGAACCCTGGTTATGGTGTAGCCAGACCTTGAGACACAACAATTCAGGCAAAATAAAGTTTGCTCTTGCTGGAGAGTTCACTCTAAAATTTTATTCATGTCCCTTTACAAACTTAATTATTGTATATACTATGACACAATCATATGAATTGTCTCTGTTACTATGTCATATACAAGATGTTAAGTTTCTACAGTGTTATGGTCAAAGGATTTCATTGTAAGTCACATCCTTAGCATGAACTGTTTGGTGTGACATTAAGTTTTATGTAAAGATACTCAGTAAGGTATCACAAGGGTTAGATACTATCTCCTAGGAACAGATCGAGGACCAGGCCTTTGCTTGGGATGTGCAAGTGTTGGACAATTTAGGCCTGCTAAGTTAACTGTTTTGTTGTTTGTTTTTATGATTTATTTTGTTTTATGTGCATTGGTGTGAGGGTGTCAGGTCCCTTGGAACTGGAGTTAGAGACAGTTGTGAATTGCCATGTGGGTGCTGGGAATTGAACCCAGGTCCTCTGGAAGAACATCTAGTGCTCTTAACCATGGAGCCATCTCTCCAGTACCATGTTAACTGCTTTTTTTTTTTTTTTTTTTGAGACAGGGTTTCTCTGTGTTGTTTTGTTACCTGTCCTGGACCTCACTCTGTAGACCAGGCTGGCCTCAAACTCACAGAAATCTGCCTGGCTCTGCCTCCTGAGTGCTGGGATTAAAGGTGTGCATCACCGCCAGGCCAGTTAACTGCTTTTTAATATTATTTTATGTGTATGAGTGTGTTGGATCTGGGGTAGCTCAGAGATTCAGCATGACCATGAATAAAATTTAATAAGAAGAGGATTAACCAACATTGCACCAGGACTGCAACCCAGAGCGCTTCCAAGATGCAGCATCTAGTCATGTCAGTTCAAGGCTTATAAAGTCAAACCCCACAGGTTTATACATATTCTGTCTACGTAGCGACAGGGTCTCATTTTAACACCTATGTCTTGCAGTTGTCCTAGTCATTGGGCAGAGTTAGCAAGTTTGGTTACAAAAGCAGAAATAGCAGTTTGTGTTATAACCTATTATCTTGCTAAAGCAGCCAGTTTTTACAGGATCAGTCAATTTAAGAATAGTCTTCAAGCCAGGGTGTGGTGGTGCACGCCTTTAATCCCAGCACTCGGGAGGCAGAGGCAGGCGGATCTCTGTGAGTTCGAGGCCAGCCTGGGCTACCACGTGAGTTCTAGGACAGCCAGGGATACACAGAGAAACCCTGTCTCAAAAAAACCAAAAACCAAAAAAAAAAAAAAAAAAAAGAATAGTCTTCAACGTCTGGGAAAAAAGGGAAGTGGGCTGCCAGGATACAGCCTGTGCAAGCTAGGGGCTTACATGTTAGAGACATCACTTGTTTTTTGGTCTCTCAAGCATAGTAAGTCTAAATTTTAAATGTAATGTTAACCATCACAAGATGAAAGGCCTCCAAGATGTTGCTTCCATGAGGCTGTCACACATGATGGGGTAGGACTTGATATCATTGTTTTGGGGTCTTCTATGCTCTTGCAAGTAACCTTTTACCTGTACTCTGTAAGGAAGCCCAAACTGCACTTGGGTGGGATTGTACTTTTGCAAGTGTTACAGTTGGGCAGTTGTAAAGCATCCTGGCAGTTGGTAGCTAAAGAATACCACAAAATCATACCTCACACAAGAGCTTTATTGGGGCGGGGGGGGAGACACCAGAAGGGTGGCTACCTCTGCCTGGGCAAGAAATAGCAAAGAACAGAGCAGAAGGCAGGATTTTATATAGAGTTTCTCCTGTGTGTGTGTGTGTGTGTGTGTGTGTGTGTGTGTGTGTTGCTGGAGAATTTCTCTCCAGCTCCCGCCCAAGTCCCGCCAGTCCGAGAACCCACTTATAAAATAAACACACAGACTCTTACATTATTTAAACTGCTTGGCCATTAGCTCAGGCCTATCATTGTCTAGCTCTTACTTTTATATTTAGCCCATTTCTATTAATCTTTACTTTGCCACATGGCTCATGGCTTACCGGTACTGTACATCTTCCTTGTCCTTGTCGTGGCTCCATGCGGTCTCCTCTTTCCTTCCTCCTTCCTCAATTCTCCTCTCTCCTTGTCCCACCCCTACTTCCTGCCTGGTCACTGGCCAATCAGTACTTTATTTATATAAAGCAGTATCCACAGCATGTGTGTGTGTGTGTGTGTGTGTGTGTGTGTGTGTGTGTGTGTGTGTGTAATTTTTCAGGGTGAAGCTTTTCAGGGTGGGGATTGGTAGGATTTCAAGTCCAGAGTTTGGGCTTTTTACTCTGTAGGGCAGGGGCAGTTAGCCATTAGGGCAGTTAGAGTGTTCTGTGGGTGGAACCTGGCAGTTGGAGGTCCTCAGAGGAGGGGCCAGGCCACTCATGTGCCTTGAGGGACCTACAGCTTTGGTATGTCACTGGTGCGTATTTTAGGGGGGGGGGGCGTGTCAAGAGACATTTGTTTGCATCTTCCAAGGACACTTAAAACTACAGGGTTGTTGAATATAAGCTTAGGGAATGCTTGTGGAGAACTACCACACAGGGTTCCTGCCTTCTCTGAGTAGACACTTCCACATTAGATGCTTTAAATTCAGAGAGCGTATCAGTGTTAAGTACAAGTGTACAGTTGAGAAGGAGCCTGGGGGACTGTAAAGGTGGGTGGAGGTGGTCTAGGCTGCCTTTTACTCCCGATGGGAGGGCAGACAGTGCATCAAAGTCCCGCAGTGTTCTGGAAAGAAGCCCTGCAAGAAAGTGGAAAGCCAGGCTGCAGGGAGAAGACACCGCCTGTTTCTGCTGTCAGCTTGTGATAATTCTGAGACAACCTATGGGTGACCGTGAACAGAGAGACAGCTCCACTGTAGGAGACTATGAGCTTACTTTGGGGACGCTATCACAGAGTACCCCTAACTCACCTAGCCCCTCACTGCCCCTCACTCTGGCACATAGCTCCAGGGAGCCATTCATAAGCTTAATTAATCACTTAATTAATTCACTCTTAATTAATCACTGTCAGCTGCTACTGGGTCTTTGCACCTGGCACCTGAGTGCTTTCTCTTCGGTAAATGCCCTAGACTCCCCTTTACAAGTAATGTCACTGTGTCTGCCATAAACAGTGACAGCCACTTGGGGGCTTTACTCTAGAGTTCGGTTCCCATATCAATGGCCACAGACAGCTGCTGTGCACTCGGATCTGGCTCCGCTGCTTGTGGCCACAGCTGTCGAGGTGAGCCTGTGAAGATTCCTGGGGTTCAAGTCCACAGGTAAGGGCGCAGGTGAATTCACAAGCCAGAGCGGACATACTACTCAGAGGCAGGCTTTGTCTCTTTAGCCTTACACTGTAGCCAGCTCTGCCTGGGGCTTCTACCATAGACTGCTGAGAGGTGATTAGGCCAAGCGAGCACGTCATGAGGACATGTGAGGATGGGAAGAGGGTGGTGGGGTTGAAGCTTGAGGAATGGGTTATCTTGGATAATCTGCACGTCTCTGTCTGATCCTGGCAGGATGTACGTGAAGGGCTGTCATTCTGAATGCAAACCCTTCCCCAAGTCTCAGGATCTGTCATCTTAGTGAAGAAATGACAGTCTCCTGCCCCAGCTTGGTCTCAACAGGGATATTTCTGTTTTTCAGTATTCAGGATAGATAATGTAGCTCCTAACTTATAACAGGGTCTCTCTCTTTCTCTCTCCCTCTTCCCTCCTCTCTTTTTTTCTCACCTTCCTTTCTTTCCTCCCCATCTCTCTCTCTTTTCAATATCATCTTTTTATTTTTTATTTTTAAAGACAGGGTTTTCCTGTGTAGCCCTGACTCACTCTGTAGACTGGGTTGGCCTCAAATACAGAGATCCACCTGCCTCTGCCTCCCAAGTGCTAGGGTCAAATGTGTGTGCCACCGTCTCCCAACTTCAATATCATGAGTTCTTCTTCTCTTCCCAAGTGCTCTGTTCTGTGTCTTTTCTTTGATGTTTGAGGTTTTAAATTTTATTTAAAAAAATAGCAAAAATTAAATGTATACCTAGATAATAAATGTATGGTTCTATGTCTTTATGTTTGTTTTGAGACAGAGTTTCACTATGTAGCCCTGACTGGCTTAGAACTCGCTATGTAGACCAGGCTGGCCTTTGGCTCATGATCCTCCAACCTCACTCTACAGAGTGCTGGGATTACAGTATGTGACATCACATCCAGCTTCTGTTGATTATGTTTTTTAAAAAATACTGTTTACTGGCCAAATGTGGTAGCACGTGACTTTAATCCCAGCCCTTGGGAGGCAGAGGCAGGCATCTGGATCTCTGTGAGTTCGAGGCCAGGTGGATCCATGTAATAAGTTCCAGAGCAGACAAGGTTACTTAGTAAGACCCTGCCTCAAAAGACTGAAAAGAAAAATAGTTTTCACTTATTTAGTGTGTATGTTTGTGTGTGGGTGTGCACGTGAAGGTCAGAGGACAACTTGTGGTAGTTGGTTCTTTCCTTCCAGCATGTGGGTTCTGGGGATCAGATTTAGGTTGTTAGGCTTGGGAGTAGGTATTGTACCTGGCTAGCTGTTGACTTTTTTTTTTAATTATGTATACAGTGTTCTGTCTGCTTGTATCCTGCCTGCCAGAAGAGGGCACCAGATCTCATTATAGATAGTTGCCGAGAACTGAACTCAGGACTCCTGGAAGAACAGCCAGTGCTGTTGAGGTCTGAGCCATTTCTCCAGCCCCTCTGTTGACTTCTTGAACCAACACCGTGTCAGAAAGCAGAGTCTGTGGTGAGTGTCTTCCTTGATGTTTACTTTGGGTGTTTACACATTTTTCAGAACTCTGTTTCTGCTTGCGTGTGTTCAGGTTCCATTGCTGCCCCGTGGAGCTGAAGGAGCTTGAGTGGCGTGTGGGAGTTGGAAGGAAGGCGCTCAGCACTTCCTTTCACAAGGTACCACGGGAGGCCCCTGTTCTGCGTCCTCAGTATGTGTAGCAGATGCTTCCTTCATCCTGAGAATGGAGCAAGATCTGAGAAACGGGTCACACACCCCGACCTGTTGTGGCATGTAGTCCAGCGGGAAGGCCTGTAGTTTCGGGAGGATCGTGTAACACTGGGGACTTCCTTGTTCCCATCAAAGTCTTCATTATCTGCTGATGAAAGTCTATGAACTGAACGTGGATGGTGTCTCTGCATGGCCATCATATGCATTTGGAGGTAAGACTGTGTGTTGGGGGGGAGGATGTGGGGTTAGCTCTGGGGTACAGTGCCAATCATGCGTGAGGCTTTGTTTCATCTGAATGTCACAAAACAATGAAAAACACATGGGAATTGTGTTTTTGTCTGTTATTATAATAACGTATTGTTATTTTTTATAACAGACAATATAATAATAGCAACCTGAAGTTACTGTCTGATTAAAATTTTAATTAAAAACATTTTTAAAAAAGAAAGCAACTCTTTATATACCCTGGACTAATTTAGAACTCATTGTTTAGTCCAAGCTGCCCTTAGACCCATGACAATCCTCTTTTGTTGTTTTCTGCATGTTTGGATGACAGGCTGGGTACTTCTAGGCCCAGGCTGTTGCAACTTCTGTTCTACCAGGTTGAAAGCAAGGCTAAGGCATTTCAATGCTCATGTACTAATTATGATGGCAATAAAAATGTCTAATATAAAATCAGAATTTTGTTTGTGGTCCTCGGGATAAGAACGAAAGGCCTCATGAATGTCAGGCAAGCTCTTTACCACTGAGCCATATCCTCAGTCCTACAAAATTGGAGTTTAAGCGCCAGACACTTCTTAGCAGCTTTCAGTTTAATTAAAAATTAATGAAGGCTGGAGAGATGGCTCAGCATTTAAAAGCACTGGCTGCTCTTCCAGAGGATCCAGGTTCGGTTCTCAGTTCCCACATCTTGACTCACAGCCCTTCATAACCTCCAGTCCCAGGGGGACCAGTGTCTTCTGGACTCCTTGGGCACCACAGGCATGTGGTGCACAGGAAATAAAAATAAATGAACCTTTAAAAAGTTAAAAAATAGTACCTGGAGGCCATAGGCATAAGATCTCCTGGAGTGGGGAGTTAGAGACAGCTGTGAGCCTCCATGTGGGTGCTGGGGCTTGAATCTGGATTCTCTAGAAGAACAGCCAGTTGGTCTCTTAATCACCAAACCATCTCTCCAACCACTCAGTTTAACTTTTTAAAAAAGACTTTAGTTTGTTTGACTTGATTTTAATTTATTAATTGAGACAAGATGTCACGCAGTGCAGGCTGGCCTGGAATTTGCCATGTCCTGGAGGATGACTTTGACTGTGGATCCTTCTCTGTCCATCTCCTGAGTGCTGGGATTGCTGGTGAGTGCCACCACGCCCAGCTTGGTGGTGCTGACATAGAATCCAGGATGTCTGCATAAGCCAGGCACGCACTCTGCCTACTGAGATACATCTCCAGCCCGTCAGTTTAATCTTTTAAGAAAGGAAGACTTGGGAGCAGGGAGGATGGCTGAATCGGTAAAGAGCTCACATTGTAAGCATGAGGACCCAAGTGCGTGTCCTCCACGCCCACGTCAAAAGCCAGACGTGACAGCAGTACCTGTAACCTTAGTGCTGGGGAGGTGAAGACAGGAGGGTGCTTGGAGGTTACTGGCCAGCTAGTTCTGTCAGTCAGTGAGCTCCAGGTTCAGTGAGCCACCCTGCCTTTTTTTTTGGGGGGGGGGCTCTGGCTGTCCTGGAACTCACTCTGTAGATCAAGCTGTCCTCGAACTCACAGAGATCCACCTGTCTCTGCCTCCCCAGTGCTCAGATTAAAAGTGTGTGCTACCACCAGCCAGCATGAGAAACACTGTCTTAAAAAAACAAGGTAGAATACAATAGAAGAAGATACCTAATGTTGACTTCTGGCCTCCCCATACATACATGTGGGGCATCCATACATGTGTACACACACATGTGACACCTTCCACATCTGCCTACATTCCTAAAAATAAATTAATAAAGCCCCTGGATTCACTGGCAGCTGTAATCAAGCACAGTAATATCAATGTTTTTCTCTTCCAGGACACAACCTAGATCTCCATAAACATGGTACAAATGACGGTTGATGATATGGTCCTTAAGGTTGTGTTCCTGCTGCAGGTGGGCACAGGCCTTCTGGCAAACACTTACCTGCTCTTCATGCATAGCTCCGTCCTTTTCACAGAGCACAAGCCAAAGCCTACAGACCTCATTCTGTCTAATGTGGCCATGGCCAATTCCTTTGTTCTTCTCTCCAAGGGAACACAGCAAATTATGGAAGATATGGGACTTGTGCATGCCCTGGAAGGTTCTGGGTGTCAAGTCTTCTTTTACTTCCATAGGGTGTCTCGAGAACTTTCGCTCTGTACCACCAGTTTGCTGAGTGGCTTTCAGGCAGTCACAATCAGCCCTAGGCATGGGGTGTGGACAAGGCTCAGACGCTGGGTCTCTAGGCATGTTGGCTGCTCCTGCCTCTTCTGCTGGACTTTCAATCTAACTATCAGCACCATCTCTCCCATTGAGATAAAAGTTTTCTGGGATAATAGTAGTGATTCCTCAATTGGGAATGGCATCGCTTGCCAATATGTGGTTGCCATGACTGGATTGTATGCAATCCCATTATCCATTCTGGGTGCCCTGTTGATGACACTTATGGTGGTAGCCAGCATGCACATGGTGTGTCTCCTACACAGACACCACCACAGGGTCCAACATATTCGAAGTTGCAGCCTCAGCCTCACCTCCAGGATCTCTCCAGAGATGAGGGCCACTCACAGTATCCTGCTCTTGGTAGCTGGCTTTATCCCCTTTTACTTCCTCAATTCAATCTACATATTTTATGGTATGAAATCATTTAGCTCCTACTTGTGGCTGCAACACTTCCTGAAGTTTCTTGCTACGTGTTTTCCCTCCCTGAGTCCCTTGGTGCTGATTTTCCGGAACCCTAGAACTCTGAGCTCCTGCTTTTAGATTCTGGGAATGTCCAGCCTAATTGCTGATCCATGGATGAACATCCGTCACCTCTCACAAGTCTTAAAGGCATGTGCCACCACTGCCTGGCTTCTTCACAGTCTTTTGTAAGAACCCATAAGTTCATGTTTTTTTTTTTTTAAGATTTATTTATTTATTATGTATACAGCATATATAACTGCAGGCCAGAAGAGGGCACCAGATCTCATTACAGATGGTTGTGAGCCACCATGTGGTTGCTGGGAATTGAACTCAGGACCTCTGGTAAAGCAGTCAGTTTGCTGTGGAGGACCTGGAAGGCTTGTCAAGAGAGGCACCCTTAAACCAAGACACGAGGACAAACACCACTACTTTTAAACCCATGATGCTTGGAGGAACAATAGTTCAGTGTCTTTTAAAATTTTATTTTTATGTCATGGTTTAAAAATTCTTATTGCTTGACAGATGAATGTGTTTATATAGTAAATTTCAGGCCTTGTGTGGAAGCACACGCCTTTAATCCCAGCACTCAGGAACCAGAGGTAGGCAGATCTCTGTGAGTTCAAGGCCAGCCTGGTCTACAGCACAGCAAGTTCCAGGACAGCCAGGGCTACATAATAGACTGTTTCAGAATGCCAAAATAAATAACACATTTCAGTCATTTTTCACCCTCACTTCTCTTTCTCCTCCTCTTCCCTCTCCCCTGGAGCCCTTCTTAGCCAGTCTACCACCTCTTTCACTTCTTCTCGCGTGTGTGGCTCACTGAGTTTAATGAGAGTTTCTTTTTAAAAAGGTGTGTGTGTGTGTGTGTGTGTGTGTGTGTGTGTGTGTGTGTGTGCGCGCGCGTGTGTGCACATGTGCCAGTGCTAGTGGAGGCCAGAGCATGGGAGCCTTGGAGCTGGAGTTACAGACAGGTGTGAGCTGTGCTCTATGGTGGGTTCTGGGAATCCAGTTCGGGGCCTCTATAACAGCAGATGCAGCAGCACTCATGTAGTAATAAAATGTCTATTATAAAATCAGAATTTTGCCGGGCGGTGGTGGCGCACGCCTTTAATCCCAGCACTCGGGAGGCAGAGCCAGGCGGATCTCTGTGAGTTCGAGGCCAGCCTGGGCTACCAAGTGAGTTCCAGGAAAAGGCGCAAAGCTACACAGAGAAACCCTGTCTCGAAAAACCAAAAAAATAAAATAAAATCAGAATTTTGTTTGTGGTCCTGGGGATAAGAACGAAAGGCCTCATGAATGTCAGGCAAGCTCTTTACCACTGAGCCATATCCTCAGTCCTACAAAATTGGAGTTTAAGCACCAGAAAAACTCAGCAACTTTCAGTTCAATTTAAAAAAATTAACGGGGGCTGGAGATATGGCTCAGCATTCACAAGCTACTACTGAATTATGGAGTCATCCCTCCAGGTAAGTCTTTCTTGCCTGAGCAATGGTGGGAGGTTGCTTTCTGGAGCAAGAATAACTTACCAATGCTATCACACTGAAGAAAATGACACCTGTCCCCAACAACTCTTAATAGTCAGTGGTTTTTGTTTTGTTTTGTTGAGATAGGGTCTCCTTCAGCCCAGGATGTCCTTGGACTCACTTTGTAACTGAGGACAACATAAAGACCTTCCACCACGCTAAAACCTATACAGTGTTTCACTCCTTTCCAACACGTCTCATGAGGACCAAGACTTCAACTCTTGGACCATTGCGAGTACATTTAACATTTTTTTTTTTTTTTTTTGAGACAAGGTTTCTTTGTGTAGCCCTGGCTGTCCTGGAACTTGCTCTGGAGACCAGGCTGGCTTTGAACTCAGAGATCTGACTGCCTCTTGGCTTCTTAGTACTGGGACTAAAGGCGTGTGCCTTCACTACCAGGCTTTCATTTAACATTTAAATGATAGCAGACTTTAAAAAATATTCATGTTGGAACAGGAAACTGAATAAAATAAAATACAAAGGTATAGCATTTGTGTTTATCAAGTATTTGATTTTTTTGAGGGGGAGGGGCATCTGTATCATGCAATTTTTGAAGCTACATGGTTTTAGAAAGTCTAACTACCCTGCTTCAGTATTTTTTCATATCATAGGAATACAGTAATAAAAATTTATAACAGTGTATTAAAAACTGTGTGCAGGGGCCCATCAAGGTGATTCAGTGGCTACAGTGCTTGCTCCACACACCTGAAAACTGGAGTCAATGGAGTAAACAGACTGCCTACAGAATGCAGGGAAATATTTACCAGCGGCACTTCAGATGGAGGATTAGTATTTGGTATACATAAAGAACTACACAAATTATCATAAAGATTATCCATTTTTCACTGCAGTATCCACACATAGGCAGAGTTTTCCTGTCCCAACTGCCTGCTCCCAAACATCCGACACAGAAGCTTAATATTATTTATAAATACTCAGCCAATAGTTCAGGCTTATTATCAACTAGCTCTTATATTTTAAGTTAACCCATATTCCTTATTTACCCTCTGCCATGTGGTGGTACCTTTATTAGCATGGCACTTTCATTTCCTGCTCCCTTTGTGTGTGGCTGGTGACTCCCCCTACTCTCCTGACTCCCTCCCATCATTCTCTCTGCATCAGGCTGTCTGGCCCAATCTTTTCTTTCCCTGCTATTGGCCAGTCAGTTTTTTGATTAACAATGAGCATAATCCATAGCATTTCCCCCTTTTTGTCTAATTAAAGAGGAAGGTTTTAACCTTAATATAGTAAAACTATATACAACAAAACAGTTATTAAGAATTATAGTAACAATATCTAATCTATGCATTTGGCAAAATTAGAGAAAATAATAATTTATCTTATCTTGGTGAGTCTAAAGTTTTGTATATAATTTACTTCTTATTATAACTAAGGAAAACTATAATTATAACTATTTAGTCCTCAGCTCCATCAAAGACCCCAGAAGGGTGAAATGCTACCTAATGACAGGGACATCAAGCTACCTGGACAGTCACCCAAAGTTCCTCTGTAACATTGGGTCATCCAACTCTGGCCTACAGGCTTAGCATATCTGACAGACTTTCCTGTGAAGCAGGGAATTCTGAAGGACTGTCCTACCTTGTCTTGGCAAAGTTCAGTAGTCACATTTTTTGTATCCTGCTGGTCCAGTTTGGATAGTAACTGTCAGCAATGGAGGCAAGGGCAGTTTCTTTGCCCACATGGCTAACTTTTGCCATAAAGAAAATAAACTCCATATGGACTTTCTTCTATGTCCATCATCCTCTTTGAAGCAATTGGTGCTTCCAGGAGCAGACGTGCCTCACTGTCAAGAAAAGTTTGAGTTCTTGCATGGGACGTGACTAGATCCTTTGCATATGAGAGACAGGTGTATAGCTGGGTCTGCTTGAGGGGCCCCTGGCAGTGGGACCAGGATCTATCCCTGGTGCATGAGCAGGCTTTCTGGAGCCCATTACCTATGGTGGGATGTCTTGCTCACTCTTGATGCAGCAGGGAGGGCCTGGTCCTGCCTCAACTGAATGTACCAGGCTTTGCTGACTCCCCATGGGAGAACTTACCCTTTTGGAGGAGGGCATGGGACGTGAGCTGGGGATGAGGTGGTGGCAGAGCAGAAGGAGGGATGAGAGGAAGATCTGTGGTTGGTATGTAAAATGAATACAATTTTTTTTAATTAAAAAAAGAAGTCTAAGTTCTTAAAAACATTTTAAATGTCATATTCTGTAGGTCTTTGAAGTGTTTGAAGATTGCCTATCTATCTGAAATATATCTCTGTATGACTTTGAAAACCTAACTAACATGACTATAGATTTGCTATTATAGACGACTATTAATCTGTATCTCTTAATTATATTACATTTTTAAATGAGTTGCATAAACACAATACCCTAAACAAGAGTAGAAATACATGCAATATAAGAAAATTAACTTTATTTTTTTATATTTCTTTTTTTTCCTTTTATTTTATTTTACAATACCATTCAGTTCTACATAACAGCCGCAGATTCCCTTGTTCATCCCCCTTCCTGCCCCCCTTCCCTTCCCCCCAGCCCACCCTCCATTCTCACCTCCTCCAGGGCAAAGCCTCCCCCGAGGACTGAGATCAACCTGGTAGACTCAGTCCAGGCAGGTCCAGTCCCCTCCTCCCAGATTGAGCCAAGCGTCCCTGCATAAGTCCCAGGTTTCAAACAGCCAACTCATGCAATGAGCACAGGACCTGCAGGGGAGACACCATGATCAAGAAAATTAACTTTAAATTTGTATCAATAAACCCAAATCCATACCAATGTAAAATATGTAAGATTAATAGTTGTTTTTTTGGATTAAAGTAGATTCAGTAAACTACCCTTTTATCCTATCATTTCTACCTACAATTCCCAAAGTGTGGAATGGGTGTAATAATCGGGAATTGATTTCAAATAGGTTGTATGGCAGCACAATGGTACTCCATTTATTCAGCCAAAAAGATCAGTATTATGTCATTGGCAAGAGTGTGGGTGGAATTCAGCAGCATCATATTAAGGGAAGTTAAACCAGAATAGTAAGACAAGGATGATATCTTCTATCTTAGGTAGAATATAGAAAAAAAGAGATACAATTAGATGAGGGATTAAAAAAGAGATTTATTTCTATTTTATGTATATGGGTGTTTTGCCTTCATGTACTTAAGTGGACCATGTGCATGCAATGTCTGTGGAGGCCAGAAGAGGGCACAGGATCCCCTGCAGCTATACTTAAAGATGGTTGTGAGCCAACAAGTGTGTGTCCACTGAAAAAGCAATGTTGTGGAATATTATTTTAAATGTGTAAAGGTGTGTTACATTTGTTTCTGCTGCCTTTGTTAACGAGGCAAAGATGTATTACAATAGTTTGATTAAATAAAATTAATTCACTTGGGGTCGGGAGGCTGGGTCTGCCACTAGCTGACAGGAAGTGGTAGGGAGGAGCTAAATGCAGCGGGGTTCTTTAGTAGGGGCTGAGCAAAAGGACGGCCCCTTTCTCAGGAGATGCATGCAGGGAGGCAAGATTGGCTGTTTGCTATTCAGCCTCTCAGAACTAGCAGGATTTCACCTCAACCTTTAAATCTTGAGTTCTATAGGACAGAGATTTAGATGAAGTTTCCTTCAGCAACTGTGATAGAGCTGGTGCCCGAGGGAACAGAATTCCCTCCTGGCTGAGTCCTGTGCATCCGAACTGCTGCTGGTAGCTGCAGAGTTGCAACTGTCGGTTAAGACAGCAGTTGCTCTAGGTGCAGCCACTGTATTGAATGCACAACCTCAAAGCATGTGTGCACTTAACTGCTGAGCTATCTCTCCAGCCCTTAGAGAAAATAATCAATTTCTTGGTTTTTCTAGACAGGGTTTCTCTGTGTAGCCCTGGCTGGCCTAGAACTCTGTGTGTAGACCAGGCTGCCCTTGAACTCACAGAGATCTGCTGGCCTCTGCCTCCCAAATGCTGGGATTAAAGATGTGTACCACCACTGCCTGGCTCATAATTAAAAATTTTTTGGATTCATTTATTTTATGTATATGAATGTTTTGCTTTCACATGTGTCTGTGTATTATGTTTACCCTGG